CATGACATCACTCGTTCGAACGTGAAAGCGGTGGATCTAGCCCAGAGTCAGAGACTCCCCGGTTATGCTGTCATTCGGCTGCTGCTAGAATCTAGAGGAATATGAAAGCCAAGGTGAGCTAGCAGCGACTGTGACAAGGAGACTAACAGTTAAATCATGGTAGGGGTTAATGGGTGAAAAGTGAAAAAAGGGATCTTTGACAAGCCAAAGAACGGATAAGAAGTAGAAAAAGCAAAGTGAATGAGCAAAAAAATGGCCAAGTCTGGTGACATTTCACAGGGGGTGGGGGTGGGGAAGCATGAAAAGGTTCACAAACAGTAAACGACCTTTTCTCATTCATCGGTGACACTAAAGCACAGACATTGGGTAAGGGGATGACAGTCCGACCGTAAATGTCGACGATGAAGAATGATAAGCGTAAAGAATAATTGAACCCAGTCATGTCACATCTGCGACGGAGAACAGATTTCGTTCTTGCACCTCGTCATTGTCGTCTCTTGTATATACGATGGTGTTATAACCGAGTGTGTTCCTGTGTCAACACCGGTTATGTCCCCCAGTTACGTGTTTGGAAGAGAAGGCAGAACAGGATAACAGATAGTAGTTTGCTACAGCAACTCCTGTATAAACATCAACTCTGCAATTGTCAGTCGACTTGTCCCGTGTTCGCCAGCAAGTGGTATGTAATTGCGTCACGGTGTTCTCCTCTGCACCAAGTCCCGCCTCCCGTATCCGCTTTCGCATTTAAAGGCAATCGGTCCATGCCCGCTTTGTCCCTTCTTATTGGTCCCTCTGGGCAGCCATCGCATGCTGGTTGACCTCTCAAGGACATTCATAATTCGGCGGCGTTCTTACCCGTGGTCACAGCTCTTTGTGACTGGGCGCTTACCTCTGTTCGTGCGCCTTTGTCCGGTGTGACCTCAGGATGTCTGTCTGGATGGATGGATGGCAAGGGTAATAGGCGTTTATGATGAGCGTTTCCAACTAAGTCGCCACCCCTCCACTTCCACTATAATTCAGAAATCTGCCTATCTGTGACCACATGGTAAAACAGTATATAAAATGAGAGAGAAAGAGGAGGAGTTGAGTGGCCTACGCATGGGAAAGTTTACATTCGACATATGGTAGCAGCTTGTAACCCTTCCTGACGAAGGTTACAATTCCGGTAGCCGCATGGCTTCGCCACTCAGTACTCTACGTATATGCACTTCTAAGTTAAGCACAAGAGCCAGATAACTTAGTGCATTTGCGGCGAGATCCAATCGGTCAGTCCAGTAAGAAATACGCACAATATATTCCTGGTTAGTATAATTCTCGTGCGTCCGGCTTAAGATACTAGTACCGTCTGCAAACACTGAGCTACTATTGGAAGCTGTTCTTGGTTGGTCATTGATGTATATAAGACCGGATAGTGGGACACGGCCCTGTACCGGCGATTCGAGCGATGATTCAGCTTCTTGAACGCTTACGTGGAAAGTATTGCTATCTAGAAACCTTTTAAAACCAGTTGATTTTATTTCCGTTTGAAACATTCCTAAAGCTTTTCTACAAGCTGTCGGTGGGTAATCATGTAAAGGGGTCTCGATTACGTTTGCCAAAGTTAGTCGTATGTGGAAAGATTAACCGCGACTGACTGCATTTCCAGCTAGACTATACCCAAAAAGTTCCACAGTAAGCAGTTGGTTATTGACCCTGATGAAGGTCTTGTAGAATTCCAAGGGTACAACTCCCTCTTCGTTGGTACTTCATACACTGAATTCCCGCAGTAGAATGGAAGTTGGCGAAGCAGGAATTTTGTCCAAGAAATTCACGCTAATTGTGGCTTATGGTACCGACTAGAGTTGTTGGAATGGGTCGGGGTCACTTTTTCACGCAGCGCCCGTCTGAGAATGTTGTGTGTTCAGCTTTTTAATCTCCCGAGAAATTAATTTCTGTTCGCGGTATA